CGGGCCTCTGTTGGCGAGAGAAGCTGGGGGGTTTGCGCTGCAAGGGGAGATTCCTGGGGTGGGGATGGGCATCAGAGACCCACAGAACTCTGAGGGACAAAAACATAATTTCATATTCTCCTTATAACTACAGAAATCCATTCTAATAAGTAATAAGCAGCGTGACGATCAAGTAGGAAAGGGAGATTGAAAGTATGTGGGCAAATGTTGCAATTTTTGCTAAGGTACCAGGGAGGGGGCTGCTGAGAAAGTAGCTAAATCATGGTCACATAGAAAGGGCCTCGCATCAGGCTTGGAAAATTCTCTTTCCTCTTCTCTCTCTTGAGTGGGATTGCAGCAGGCTGGGGACCCGGGTGCCTGGAGTCTGCAGGCAGGTCTGCCCAAGGAACCACACATTTCTGGTAGTGTTCCTGCCATTCCCTCCCCCAACCCACATCCATCTCCTCTGCTAGACTGTAAGCCCCAGATGGCATGTCTGTGTTTTCACCAGTCACCCCAGCCCCTAGCCCAGTATGTTTATATTTGTCGACTGAGAGATGGGATGTAACTTTGGTTGTTACATCCCATCTATCTGTTCTGGGTAGGGCTGGGGGCTTGGAAGCCATCATCCTCATGGGATATAATGATCTTTGCCCTCTTCCATCCTCCCCGCAGGCTGCCCGCGGGGCTCCAGTGGATGCAATCTCAGGCCACTGCCAACTGATGCCCCGACCTGAGGCCAACCAAAGACTTCGGGGGGTTTTGCTTGGACTACATGGGTGGAAAGCCCAAGTGATGATTACTTTTCTACGATTCTCTGATGGGAGCTGGGTCAGCTCTGGACAGTGAGATTGCCACAGTCCACCCAACCCAACCCCGCCACCAAGGGGCTAGACAGCCCGCCCTGACCTGCTGCAGACAGGCAGGACAGCAGAAGAGCTGCCCTTCACTCCAGGGAAGCAGGTGTCCTTGGAGGCACAGGCAAGCCGTTGGACATGTGAGGGATTGGGAAGTGGAGCCCCATCCCCTCAGCCCGCAAGCTCTTTGAGGAAAAAAAATGGGGGACGGAGTAAGAGACCGCCGGGAATTGCTCTTTATTTCCTAGAACCCCACCCCCTATCCGTTGATTCCCGCCCCAGCTTTCTGGTCCCTTAGCCATCTTTGAGCAAAGGAGATTCCAGAAAGGTGAAGGGGCAGGCTCAGGGGAAGGAGGACAGAGCCAAAAACTGGTGGGAAGGGAGAGGAAGAAGGACGGGACATCCCGGACGGGGACATGCCTTGCACCTTGGGGAGTTCCACTCCTCCCAGGCCTTTCATTTCCCTCTGGGATGCTGGCTCTGACCACAGCTTCTGAGCGTTAAGCCATCCTATCCTATGCCCTCCAGTCCTTCCAGTGTGAATCCCACTCCTCCCACATGTCTCCAGTTCCTACAGCGTGCCTATCTCGACTATCTTTTGTCATGATTTTGTCATTGTTTTAGAATTTTTATAAAAGTATAATAAATGCCATTGAAAACTGCTCACCTCTTATTTCGGCCTGCTCCTGCTACCTGTGTTTCCAACTGGCTTTTGGTTTTTGTACAGGGCCGGGGGAAATCCTCCTTGGAAATGAAGGGGGTACTGCCTCAAGGGTCCATCGGGCTAGGGCCCTGGCTGGTTCTTTGGTCCTGGGCTCTACCACCCTCTGCCAGGTAACTCACTCCTGACTTGCCGGGACTGGGAGCTTTTGGCTCTACCTGGGTCTAGGGGTGGGAGTGGTTTGATGCTGACTCGTGGAGGAGGGGGGAGGGGCCTTTGGGGATTTCTATGGAGGCAGAGCGGAAGACAGCCTATATGCGGAGCCCTGCTGTTACCCCATAAGACCTGAGATGGTCCTGGAGTCCATGGGTTTCTCTCCTTCCCAAGTCAGGCGGTAGACATATCCAGGACAGCCTGCACACAGTTATAGAAAGCCCAGGATTCCTTAATCCTGTGGTTTTCCTGAGGTGTGATGATGGAAGAAGAACTCAGCAATTCTAGCTATCCCCACCCGGCCCACAACCTGCTCTTCTCATGAGGTCATTTCGACACAACCCTTGGACAAAAACATAATTTCATATTCTCCTTATAACTACAGAAATCCATTCTAATAAGTAATAAGCAGCGTGACGGGGGTATAGCTCAGTGGTAGAGCATTTGACTGCAGATCAAGAGGTCCCCGGTTCAAATCCGGGTGCCCCCTCTTCATGCCAGACTTTTCGTGTTTTCTTTGTCCTGCGGTCCACCTCTCAAAGTGCGCTAGCAGGGGAGAGGAGGGGTTGCAGTCTCGGGGCCTGCCACCCCCTTTTGCAGGCAGGCGACGTTGGAGTCTTGGCCCCGCAGATCCACGCGCTCAACCCGCGTGGGCGTTTACGGTGGGATGTAGTGCGAGGGCGAGAAGCTGCTGGTTAACCCTAGGGGGACAGCGCAGACTGCGCACCCCCGAAGTGCTAGGGCGGAGGCGGGTGCACCCCGAAGTGGGCCTGGCCAGCGACCCGACGGCTCTTCCCGGGGAGGGAGGCCGACTATCTAAGGGCTGGGCTTGGGCTGGGGAAGGAAGGCCCAGAGAAGCCTGCCTGAGCGTGCAGGACGGAGAGAGGGGCGCCAAGAGGCAATAAAGGGGCTCCGACAGGGCAGGAGAGGGGGACCTCGGCGCAGGGAATGTCCCCGAAACCAGGGATCTCGAAGGATCTCGAGGGATTTTTCCAAACTCCATTTTGCTTACACCATTCAGTAGAAATCTTTAGCTCAGAGCTTCGGGAAACAAGTTCTGCGTCCAGGCGAGTAATCTTTTGAGATTATATTATTTTCAACTTTTGCGAATATTGGACCCCACCTCTTTTCACAACCTCGTTACAGCGCCTGCGCACTCATAACACTAAGAGGTTGCTGCGCCCAAACGTCAGCAGAGGGGGTATAGCTCAGTGGTAGAGCATTTGACTGCAGATCAAGAGGTCCCCGGTTCAAATCCGGGTGCCCCCTTGCTTGCCGTTTTCACTTGGCCACAAAGGTCCTGGTCTGCTTATGTCATTTTTCCCCCCTTCCTCATTTTACGTTGACATTGCCTTCGCCACCTCCCTTGTGAGCAAACGACAATGGGGGCAAGAAAGACGCGAGAGAGTGCAAGAAGCGGGAAATCTCAAGCAATGGCTCTTAAAATGTGGTCCCCGGACTAGCACCACCACCTGGGAACGTGTTAGAAATGCAGATTCTCGGCTTCTTCCCAGAACTATTGAATTAGGAATCTGGGGGTGGCGCCCAGAAATTTGTATTTTTAATAAGCCCGCCAGGTGATTCTGATGTACGCGCAAGTTCTAGAGGCTTACATTTAAAAAAAATTTACACGTCACTTGCTTCGAATTATTTCCAAGCTGCTGTTTTCAGTCCGAGCCCTTAAAGAGACCTTGTAAGACAGACCGCTGCTCGCCACTTGGCCGCTAGAGGGCAGCAAGAAGCCGCAGCTGGAGGCGGCGGCCTATTCCTATTTGAGAGTCGGAAAACTCGGGATTTGAATTAGACAACAAGAAGAACTTACAGACAGGCCTTGCCTTGTCCCATTGTAAAGGCTTAGCGTTTAGGGCTGGAGGAGGTCGTTTCTGGGACCCTGGATCCAGAGGAAGGAGGAACTGGGATTCTGAGAGATTAGGGAGTCTTTAGTTCTTGTTTCCCTTCTCAGTTCCTGTCTTTGGCCTCAGTGTCAGGGAACCCCCTCTTCCAGCCCACACTCCTGTCCCCGCGCGTATCCCTCTTCCTGGAGAACTCCCTGAAGGGCTCTTCGCGTCCATCGCCTACCTGTCCGTGACTGTCCAGTCCCTAGGCCCCAGCCCCGTGAGAAACCAGGTGCCCCTCACCCCTCATTCTCCCACCCTCGAGTGCTCCAGCTCCTTGCCAACGCACGAAGTAGGTCAGGGGAGGGAACAGGCACTTTCGTGTCCTGACCTGATTCCCCGCCGTCTATTAAATCTCCTAAATTGCGGGTATTTTTGTTCTGTCCTGAAAGAAAAGGAAAAAAAAAAAAAGGTGATCTATCCCCAGAGTCTGTCATAAGGTGGTGGCAGGTGGGGTGAGACGTCTTCTTGCTCTGGGGGCTGGCTTTGAGGATTGACTGGGACCTTGAACAGTCCCGGGGTCCCCAGAGAGAAGGGTGGCCTCATCTACCTTCTGGGGGTGAGGGGAAGTCCGGGTTAAAGTATGAGTAAGCCGGGCCCCTCCACCCCCGTGTCCGCCAGGCGGGTGGGCAAGACGGTGCTGGGAACTGGGGGTGATGGGAAAAAGGGAGAGGAGCCCTGGGGAGGGGAGTGGAATTCGGGCCTCTGTTGGCGAGAGAAGCTGGGGGGTTTGCGCTGCAAGGGGAGATTCCTGGGGTGGGGATGGGCATCAGAGACCCACAGAACTCTGAGGAGCAGCCCAGAAAGTCGGGAAGCCTGGTGGAGCTGGGGGAGGGGTGCGTATGGCAGGAGTCCACCGCCCGAGGGACGGGGCGCCTGTCCCTTCCTGGGGTGTGCACCCTCCCCCCACACACACCCCGGTCTTGTCTCCGCGGCTTTCCCAGGGGGGTGGAGGAGGGGAAGGGAGACAGGAGCTAAGGTGCGGGGTGGGGGGCCGCTTCTCCCAGCCCAGGGTCCCCCGCCCTGTCCCCTACTCCGCCCCCAGCCCCCCCGCCCCCCCCAACCCCGCCGTGGGAGCGCTCCGGGAGGGCTGGGAGGACCCGGGAAGACTCCGGGAGCGCTCGGGAGGCGCCGCGCCCCCCCGCCCCGCCCCCTCCCCGTCCGCGCTCCGGGAGGCCGCTGCTCGGTTCGCTCGCCACCCGCCCGCGCCGCTCCCGCCGCCCCGCCGGGCCCCGCGCTCCGCCGCCTCCTCGCCGCCCTCCCCTCCGCGCGCCCGCCCCGGGTACCGCGCCGCCCGGGCCCGGCCCCTCCCTCGCCGGGGCCTGCAGCGGGCCGGGGGCGGGTCCTGGCACCCACCATGCGGGCAGAGCTCTGGCTCCTGGTGCTAGTGCTCAGGGAGGCTGCCCGGGCGCTGAGCCCCCCGCCCGGAGCAGGTAGGACCGGCCGGAGTTGGTCGGGGTGGCCCGGGGGGCGGGGAGGGGGCTGGCCGGCGGGCGTGGGCGTGGGCGCGGGCATGTACCCACCGGCCGGCGATGTCGGGCTGGTGCGGGGACTGTCCGCGGAGGGCCAGGAGCTCTGTGGGCTGTGGCAGGTGGACAGGGACCCACTTTCTTAAACACGTAGGGTGTGTGAGTGAGGGTGGAGGCATCAGACCCTGATGCCTCCCACCTCTCCTTCCCTCCTGGAAGGACACTGGAGGCACCCCAGTAGAGGGGGCTACATAAGGCAGTGGCCTCTGGCCCCAAAGAGGAGAGTGGGGGAGTCATAGGGACCCCTGGTCACACCGAGGGAGGCTGAATTCTGATGAGATGGGGAGTCTGGGGTGCCTCCTGCCCCAGCTTTGCCACCTCCTTCTCTTCCCTCCCCCCACGCCCCACCCCAGCCCCAAGCTGACCCAGGTTGGGTCTGAGTCGGATTTCAGATTTGGGGGGCTGGGTGGGAGCAGCCAGGGGGATGGTGGAGACCCAGCATCTCTCCCAGAGGAAGCTCTGTAGCAGCCTGTCCTACTGTCTTCCTCTCCGTCTTCGGAGCCTGGAGAACAGTCCTGGGCTCAGGAAGAAGCCCTCCCCTGCCCCCCCCATTCCCCAGTCTCCAGGATGCTCCTGGTCTCCCGCCTTGCTCTCCTGGTGGCCTCTGGCCATCAGCTGCTCTGGCTGTGGATGGTGGGGGGATCCTATTTGCACACTCCTCTCCCCTACACCAGTTCTCCACTCTGCCCTGGAAGTTCTTTCTGAGGTCTTCCTTGAGTCTCTTGTATTATAAAAGAACCATTGTTCAGCATGAAATTTCACATTCCCTTCCTTTCTCCTCGGGCACCCAGAACTTCTCTGGGGTTGGGGAGGTGGGTAATTTGCAGTCTAGCCTCTTGACAGAGAGAATTGGGAAGATAGAACTTTATGCCTCGGGGACATAGGTGTCCCTTAAATGGGATGGAGCGGGGGCACGGGCTTGTCCAGGGAGATGCTGTAGTTGGGCTGCTGTGTCTCTGGAGTGTGATAGCATCAGGCCCAGCATCTGTGACAGAGTTCTTGACTTTAATGGTCCTCAGTCCTCGTGTGTAGATGAGACAGGCCTGGGTCCCTGTGGAGAAGGAGGGTGGGGAAGGGTGCTGATGGTGGGCATGTGGGCAGAGAGCAGTGGAAGTTGGTGTGGCAAGAGGCTGGTGGTACAGAAGCACCAGTTTTCAGAGAGACCACACAGAGAAGGGCCAGAGACTTGGCTTCTTGTCCCAGCATCTCACTTGCTGTGTTACCTTGAGCAAGTTACTTTCCTTCTCTGGGCCTATTTCTCCACTTCTAAAGTGAGGCTGTGAGCAAAATCTTTGACTCTTGGTGGTGGGATTATGAGAGATTTTTTTCTTCTTTTTTAGGATTGTCTTTCCTTTTCAGATCTGTTATGATATATGTGGGTAACTGGTAATTGAAAAAATATATATATAAAGGAAGAGGTTGGACAGGTCAGATTTTGAGGTCCTCTGCAGCCCCGAAGTTGGTGAGATCTTCTGAACTCAGAATGTGATTGGGTGATGAGGAAGGGCTCTGGACCCCTGACTGAGTTGAGAGAACCATGGAAAGGGTTGGGGAAGGGGAATTGGGAGGTAACGAGCCTGTGCTGGAGGATGGTAGCCAGCCTGGGGCCTGGCTGAGGGCTGCCTCTTCAGAGTCCGGTTGGGGTAGTAGACACCTGGGGAGACCAGAAAGAGAGGGGCAGGCAGAGACTTGAATCAAATTTCTAAGTAGAGGACACCTTGTCTTCTCGGCTTTGCCAGAGACTCCACCTGGAAAAATGGACCTTTCTCTGCGGCAGGAGAGATGGGTCGGACTTCAGGAAGCACTAGGAAGCCAGGGTGGGCAGCTGCTGACTCTCAGTCCAGCGGTTCTTTTCACCAGGCCTGGCTGGATTTGAGGAAGGGCCTGTGTGGAGTTGGGGGCGGGGGTGTCTTTTGGGAAGAAGAGATGTGGGGGGGTAGGGCATTCTGGGGGGGCTGCTAAGCCTGGCTCGGATCAGTGGTGGAGCCCTCAGACCTGATGAAAGGGCAGCGGGGAGCTGGACTTGAAGGGGTGCAATCCAGCCCCAAGACTCCAAGCTCTCTGGGCTGGGGGGCCCTCAGGAGGGAGCTGAGATCTCCCCTCCCTCTAGATGGGTTGGTTTGTTTACTGGAGTCTTGAAACTTCATCCATCATGAGAACGGGAGCAGGAAAAAGATGAATGGCCCAAAGATATAGTCGGGAGGTGAGGAAAGACCACGAGAGGCTGATAGACAGATGGATCGACAGACAGGAAGATGGCCTTAGGATGCACGGGGTGCACCGGGGCAGCAGGGTCTGGCCTAAGGGGAATGGGAGCTGCCTAAAACAGAAAGAAGAGGCAGCTGGAGGGCGTGTCTTTGGTCCGGGAGTCAGGAGAGCAGACCCAACACCTATCCCTGGCGACCCTGGCAACTTCCTCCTTTATTTGCACCTGGGTTTCTTCTTCTATAAAATGGGGTTTGGACCAGATTGCATCTAGGGCTCCTATAGCCATGATTCTGCCCACCAGACACTTCCAGACAAACCAAGACTAAAATCTGAACTTCTTCCAGCGGCTGTCAGACAGCCTCCGGCCATCCCCGCACCTGCTCTCACTCTCCCCAGCCCCATCCCTCAACACATCCAGGCTGTGGGACGCTGGTCTTCAAGTCCTGGCGTCTCTTCATCCAGGTCTCAGTCAGCTCAAGGGCCACCTCCTCAGAGAGGCCCACCCTGATGGCTCTGCCCAGAAGAGCAATAAAGCCCAACCCTTTCGTCTGCCTGATAGCACTCATCACCATGTCACATTCTTATTCGCCACATTCTTCATTCATTCATTCATTCATTCATTCATTCATTCATTCATTCATTCATGTGTCTTTTCCAACTGGAATCTTCTTGGGCACAGGGGTTGTGTCCACCGCCTGTTCACTGTCACCCCAGCACCCAGCGCAGTGCCTGGCACACAGTAGGGCCTCAGTGAATGTGTATTGAATGAGAGTGAATCAGGAGGTGGTCACGGACCCCAGACTCTCCCTTAGAGAGAAACTCACAGAGAGCCGAGCTCTTCTCTCCTCTCCTCTTCTCCTCTGACTACTTGGTGGTCCCTTCCTGCCAATTCCCTGTGCCTACCTCCCTCTCCCCAGGGGAGGGTCCTCAGTGGTTTCCCAGCAAGAGGATGCAACTGGGGGCTTTGTAACGAGGACGCAGGATTTCAGCTCAGAGTCTGGAGACTCTCTCAAGCCTCTAGGAAAGTCAGTCCTCCCGTTAAACCTGGGGAAGGCAGGGGGACTTTGCTGGGTGCTTTGTGTATATTATTTTGTTAAAGACTCAAAACAACCTACCACGTGTTATCCCCATTTTACAGATAAGGCAACTGAGGCTTAGAGAGATTATGTGATTTGTCCAGTGTCACAGTCAGTGAGTAGTAGATTCAGGGTTCATCCTTGAGAGCTTGTATGATTACAAACCTGTGCTCTTTTATTGCTGTGGCATGGCAGTGAGCTTTCTAGGCTGGGCTCCAGGGGAAGGGTGTTCTCCGCCAGTGGATCTCAAGGACGCAGAGCTTCTGAAGATGCCCCCCTCCTTTCCTCCTTCCCTTCCCTCCTGCCTTCCCTCCCTCCCTCCCTCCCTTCCTTCCTTCCTTCCTTCCTTCCTTCCTTCGTTCCTTCCTTCCTTCCTCCATCTGTGCTTACTGAGCATTTGCTCTGAGTCAGGTGCCTGGAGCCTACAGATCCACAGGCAGCAACTACACGTGGGGATCAGGGCCGGGACGGTGCAGGTAGCATTTGGGGTGATGGGGACAGATGTTGGGGGATGCTTTGGGAAGAGGTGCCATCTCATGGGACTTGACGGATGAGCAAAAAGTCATCAGAGGGGTTCATTTATGGAGCAGAGTGGTCCTGGCTGGGAAAGCCATTTGTGTGAGGCCCTGTGGCCAGAGAGAGCCGGGCTGGGTCCTGGAGAGGGCTTTGGGGAGACAGGAAGCTGGAGGAGAGAGCAGGGATCCGGTCACCGGTCATGAAGGGCCTTCGGCTGGAAGGCTGTGGCGAGCTTGAAGCCTGGGAGGGACGGAATCAAGTTTGTCCTGGGTGTATGGGAGACTAGCTCGCGGGCATTAAGCGTGGAGGCTACAGGAGCTCCTGGACTGTGTGGTGGCTGTGGGACCCGAAGGGCAAGCTTGGGTGGCGGGTGGGATGAGAGTGGCTCGACCAGGCCCTGGGGCTGGGCATGACGTGGCCTCCTGCAGTCAGCGCAGGGCTTCTTGCGCCAGAGCAGGGCAGTGGCCCATGGAGGGGATCTGGGGCAGTACTGCTGGGCCGTGCCCCTGCGTGCCAGGGGACACGGGCTCCCAGGACAGGACCCCCGAGTGGCCCCCAGTGAGCCCAGCCCATATGCTGGTCCATTCCCGGGGCTGTCCCTGCACCTTAGGAAATCCCCTCTTGTTGCCCTTGTGGTGGCCTGAGCAGACCCTGAAGTCAGCCTGCCTGGAAGTCAGCCCACCCGTGCGCACATATCCTGCCACGGACTAGTTGCGTGACCTTGGGAGATTCCTTGACACCTTCATGCCTCAGTTTCCCAATTTGTACAATAGATCAAACCTAGCACCCATCCCATGGGGTTAATGTGGGGAGTAAATGAGTTAATGGGTTTCAAGCATTTGGAAGAGGGCTAGCCCTGACTAAGCATTCTCGAAAAGTTAGCTGTCATTTCTTGTTCTCCCTATTACTGTTGTGACGGCCCACTAGACGGTGGGCGATTTGGGGCCGTGGGTGAATGAACGGGTGGATACATGCCCGGAGTGTGCTCTGGGCGCTTCTGGCCGGTGCTCACAGGCAGCTACACTCCCATGCGGAGGCGTGAGATGGGGGCTGAGCCGGTGAAGCTCTCCGGTGCAGGACAGAAGGTAGAGCAGAGTGTGGCCGAGGGTTGGACAGGTTGGCGACAATGTGTGGAGCATGCAGGGAGGAGGGCCGGGCCCTTGGGGCAAGTGTGTGCGTGCACAGGCACGTGGGCCCCGACACACACATGCGAGTCACCAGCTGTGTTGGCTCCTTTTGCAGGCTGAGGGGGTGATGTCCTGTCCTAGCCCACTGGGAGGGGGCGGGGTGGCAGGGAGACAGATGTGGGGGTGGGGCTGAGAGGGTCAGACTGGGGCTAGGCCAGGGTAGGGCAGATTCCTGGGCCGCTTCCCTCTCCAGCCCCTTCCCTGCCTGCCCCATGGACTCTTTGCCTCTGACCTGGGCCCTGAGCTCTCTGATTATAAAGCCTTCTCATTTGAATTTTGCACTTGATGCTCATGGCAGCCTGTGCTGTAGGCATGACTGTCATCCCTGTGTTAGTGATGAGGAAATGGGGGCTCAGAGAGGTCAACGGGCGGGTCCAAGGTCACACAGCCTGTGGGTACAGGTGTCCCTTTCCTGACCCCACAGCTGGTTGGGCCCCCCTTTCCAGCCCTCTTCTCAGGCCTTGGACCCCCACTTTGCAAGTATCCTCCTGTCTCAGTTGCAGGATTGTGATGTCTGCAGATCTCCAGCGTCCCCTTCCAGACCGGTTCAGCATCTCCATTCGCTCTGCACACGTTCCTTTCCTGTTCTGGCTCTAGCCCAGGCCCGAGGGCTGCTTGCAGGACAACCTGGGAAGCTGGGCAAAGCAGCCCAGTGCAAACAGTTCTATCTCCAGAGGCAGCTGTGGGCCCCACCCGAGAGGGGCAAGACAGCCCTGGCTTGGGGTCGGAGCCATGGGCAGACTGCCTTCCCAGTTCTGGGCGCAGGCCCATCTCAGCCAGTGGGCAACTTGGGGAAGGGTCCTCGGGGCCGCCCCTCTCCCCACCTTCTCCAGAGCATCTGGTTGCGATTAGGGGCAGAGAAGTGAGGGGGGCCCGGCAAGGGTCCAGCAAGCACCAGCAGCCAAGAATGACTTAATTGGATAAAATGTCTAATGACAAACCAGGGCCCCACAGCAGAGTCCTGGCCCCAGCCTCAGGCCTGGTGCTGGCCAAGCCTTGTCTCAACCTCTGTCCTTGCTGGCTCCCAAGAGTTACCTCCAGTATCATGTCCTCAATTGAACAGTGATTGAGCACCTACTGTTTGCTAGACACTGAGGATACACATTTGCAGAAGATGGGGAGAATCCTGGGGGAACTTGTCTACCAGGGAGACAGGCATGTAGTTACACCATCGGGTGCTCTAGGAAAGAGGGTTATATCCAGGAGCTCTGGGGAGGGGTGGGGCAGGCAGAGGTGGAGAAGGGCGTCCGACGCCGGTGGGCCTGGAATTGATGAATATCACAGGAAATACCAAATCCATCTCTCTGGTGGTCTGTGTGCCATACACATGTCCATAGTAGGGGTGATAATTGCAGTAACAATATAAGACACATCTTTGGGGGCACAAATCTTTCCGAAAAGGAAAAGCATGGTTTCTGTGATATTTAGAATACATTTAATGACCTAGAGGAGACAGAAGAGAACACCGAGTCTAGGAATGGCTGCTAAATGGCTGGTGTGCAGCGTCTTTCCAATCCTGTGTCCCCGGCAGACATTGTTAATGGATCATGACAATCTTTCCTGCTGCACACAGATGGAGCTTCCGAGTTTGTCTCAATTAGAGTGCTCCTGGCTGTCATTAATCGATTGGAGATGACTTTTGAGATGAAACCTATTTGCCATCCTTGATGGTGGCGAAGCTCCATGTTTTAGGGAGAAAGGGACTTGCCCAAGGGGTTTGCAAATAGTCATAGGACTAAACAGTGATCCCCATCACGGAGACATCTTCGATCGTCACCATCTGGGAAGAGGTGCCACTGGCATCTAGTGGGCAGAGGCCGGGATGCTGCTGGACTTGCTACAACACTCAGGACAGCCCCCATAGCCAAGAATTCTCCAGTCCAGAATGTTGATAGCCCTGAACTAAAAGAACTCTACTCTCTAGCTTCTGGTCCCCGAAGTCCCCTGGAAGGTGAGATTTTGTGCCATTTCTGACAGAGAAATAAGGAACGGGTTTGGAATGTTCCAGAGCAACGGTTCTCACTCTTGTCTATAGAGTTCCGTTCAGGGCTTCTCAAAAGCTCCCCTGGGGATCATTTAAGACTCCTAATGCCCAGGCCACACCACAGAACAATTATATCAGAATCTCAGGGGTGGGACCCAGAGACGAGGAATTTTTAAAGCTCCACGAGCATGCAGCAGAGGTTGAGAATAATTACCCCTTTGGAGGTTCGGAACTTGTCTCCATACCTAACCCAAGGTGTGACATTCTTTAACCTCTGTGAGCCCCTAATTCCTGTCTGCAAAATGGAGAGCATCATATCTACTGCGGAGGGCCGGGGTGAGGGACTAAACGTGTTCTGTGTGCGGAGTGTGTGGTGTGGGACTGGCACGGGGCTCTCATGCACGTGGGGTGTCCCCACAGTCAGGGATGGCGTGGGGTTGGGGCTTTTGTAGAGTACGTGGGCTGGTCCCCTCCTTGGACCTTCACTCTGACTGCTGGGACTCAGCTTTCTGTCTCCTTCTCCCAGGTCAGGATCCAGGCCGAGGCTCTGCATGGGCTGCCAAGGGGACCACGCAGGGCTGGAGTCGGAGAGCCCGAGAGAGCCCTGGGCAGGTGTCAGAGTCGGACAAGACCCAGCTGAGCCAAGACCCGGGCGGGGGCATGCTGGCCATTGACAGACTGCCGGATAACAGGACCAGGGTGGTGGTGAGTGCTGGAGGAACGGGGAAGGGGAAGGAAGTGGTGCTGGGAGGCTCCCCAGGTGCCCTAATGTGTATTTGTCAGATGCACAAATCACATATCCTTTGGGATTGGCCTTGGATGTCAGCATGGCGAGAAGGATCCCAGGGGAGGGGATGAAAGCAGGGCCCAGGCCGGGACATGAAATCTTCACATCTCAGAGCTTCATAGATTGCCCCCCTCCTTGTGCACCCAGAGAGGTGAAGTGACTTGCCCAAGGATGCACAGTATGTGCACAGGGTTCGTGACACTGGACTCTTCCACTGCCTGAGGCCTCCACTAAAAGCTGAATGAAGGTGGCATTATTAGTCACATCCAGCTGCCAGCCGAGGCCCCTCTCCTTTCCCATTTCTGCACCATTTACAGACGGGCGTAGCCACAAAGGGTTAAAGGCTGCAGAGGATCAGGCGGGGCAGAGCACAGAGGAGGAAATTAGGGTGAAGCTCAGGTGTGAGACCTCCTCTGCCTGGGGGCAGTTGCGGGGGGGGGGCGGCGGGGTTGGTGGCGGTGCTGAAGGGAGGCCTGGAGGGTCGAGGCCCAGAGGAGGCGCTGTCCTTGCAATGTCTGGCCCTGCCCGCCCCCCCCGCCCCCCCCCCCGGCTTTCTTTCCAGGAGGCTGGCGGGGACTGCGTGTCTGTGGGTGGATCCGTCACCATGTGTGCGTGTGTTTGCACGGGTGCCTGAGGGGTTTTGCGTATTGCGTACGCTTGCCCGTGTGTCTGCCACCGTGGGCTGTCTGTGCGTGTGTGTGATGAATGTGTGCGACCGTACAAGTGTGAGCGTGCCCCTGGCCGTGTGTATAGGCGCCTATAGCTGAGACTGAATTCCGAGGACGCAGAAAAACTATGAAACAAGAGGAAGCAACAACAGGATGTGCTTCTTGGCGTACATTTCTTTATTTTATGTTCAGGAACGATCTTTTTACATCAAAGAAGTGCATGCGGGTAGTCAAAAAGGTCAAACGGTGCTAAGATCGGAGAACAAAGCACAGCAGACCGCCCCGCCCCTCCTCACCTCCCCACCCCGCCCCTCCGCACCTGCCCGCCCCTCCGCACCTGCCCGCCCCGCCCCTCCGCACCTGCCCGCCCCTGGCACCTCCCCGCTCCGCCCCTCCGCACCTGCCCGCCCCTTGCTCCCGAGGTACCGCTGGGGGCCGCTTCTCCTGGCGGTTACCACCATATTTCTAAGTAATTTGCTTATGCTGCTGACTCGTGATTAATTCATTCAGACATTATCTGTTGACTACCTGTTGTGTAGATGAAGATCTGTCTTTTATAGACTCCCTCGAGTGTCATCCCACTCTCAATGTTTTTGTTAAATTCATATGCTCTGCTTTATAACATAATCATGTAAATATTGCTCGCCACTAACCCAAGCAGGGTAATATCATTGTTTACTTTCTTCTGTAATTTTTGGCTTTCCTGGATCCTTGCCCCAACCCCCGTTTGCTTAGTTTTCTGTACTTACCACGGTTATATATTCTTATATGTCCACTGGCCTCAAATAGAATTTTTGGAGCGGTCCAACCTGTTTTTATCCCCCCCCCCAACCCCTCCCCTCTCTCTGTCCTCTCTCTCCTGTTGTCCTGCTCCAACCTGGGCTGGCTGCTCCCCCACCCGCCCGTGGCCACCTTCATCGTGGGACCTCCCTCTCCCGGCGTTGGAACCCCCCTTGTCTGTCTCCTGTGTTGGGCGCCCTATTCTGTGGACCCTGTGTCTTCTCTTCCCTGCTTCTCCCCCTGTTTGTTTAGCTTCCTGAAAAAGGTTACACAGGAGGGAAAGTTCTTTAGAGAGCTCGCATGCCTGAAAATGCCTTTATTCTATCCTCACACCTGATTGATGGTCTGGCTGAATATAGAATTCTAGATTAAAAATAATTTTCCTTCAGCAGTTTGCAGGCATTATCTTCTGGCTTCCAAAGTCACTGTTGAGAGGTTTGATGTCCTTCTTACTCTTGTTCTTTGTTTATTGCGGCTTTCCCCCAACCTCTGGAAGCATTTGGGGTGTAACCCCAGTATTCTGGGAGTGCAGTCATGTGCCCTGCCTCTGGCTTTTTTTTTCTCCCACCGTGCTGGATATGTGAGGCACTATTGCAACCTAGGACTTACATTCACCAGTCTGGAAAGTCCGCTTGTTCTATTTCTTTGACAATCTTCTCTCTGCCTATTCTTTTTTTCCTACAATTCCCCTTGATTAGATGTCCATCTTAGGGATTGATCCTTGAATTTCCTTCTCTCTTCTGTTGTCCATGCCTTTCGCCTTTGTTTGTTTGCGTAGTTTGCTTGGTGGTGGTAGTGGTCCATTTCCTGGAAGATTTTCTCAGCTTTATTTTCTTAATGTTACTGATCTTTTCCCTACTATCATATTTTTAATTTCCAAGAACTCTGTATTATTTTCTGATTTTTTTTCTTTTCTTAGGAAAAAAAAGCATTCTGTTCTTGTGTCATGGATGTAATATTTTTTCTGTCTTAGGATATTTTATTTTATTTTTTTTAAAGATTTTATTTATTTATTTGAGAGAGAGAGAATGAGAGATAGAGAGCATGAGAGGGAAGAGGGTCAGAGGGAGAAGCAGACTCCCCGCCGAGCAGGGAGCCTGATGTGGGACTCGATCCCGGGACTCCAGGATCATGACCTGAGCCGAAGGCAGTCGCTTAACCAACTGAGCCACCCCGGCGCCCCATCTGTCTTAGGATATTTTAAAAATTAAAATTTTTTTTCCTGCTCTGCCCTCCCTCCCTCCCTCCCTTCCTTCCTTTCTTCTTTCCTTCCTTCCTGTCTTTCTGTCTTTCTTTCCAGTGGGGGAGTTTAATGCAGGGACAGCTTACCCAGGAGTGGGCAGGGTGAAGGAAAGCAGCAGAGGATGGTAAAGTGCTTTGGGAACAGCAAGAGTAGGAGCAGCTAAGACCTCTCTACACTGGAGCCGGCAGGGAGGGGGCTGACCCAAACCAGCAAGAGGGACTAAATCTAAGAACCGTTGCAGTGGGGACTGAAGAGGAACCAGAGCCAACCAGCAGCCTGGTAGGGAGGGAGCTGGGAGACTCATAAATGCTCTGAACTCTCCCTCCTTCTGCATCGTTTCCATGACTTATTTTTCCTTTTACCTCAGGCTCTGACATGGCTTGGCACTAGTACCAATCCTGTCTATTTACAATTTGATATTTTGTTCATCATGGATTTTTTTGCTCTCATTTCTATTTTAAAATATTGCATGAAGATATTCTCTATCTTGATGGCTGGGTTTGTTGGTGCCATCTTAAAAGTTGTACCTGAGGTCAGGGCCCCACTGCCTCACCTAATCCCTCTTTGAGATGGAACCTGGTAGAACCTCAGAGAACAAAGCCCCAAGTCACTTCCCATTCTGCCCTGTCTTCTCCATCCTGGAGAACCAAGGAGCCATGGTGGGATGATGGAGTGGAAGACCAGGGATGGGGGAGAGGTACCCTGAGTAAGGGGGCCCCTGGACACCCTTCCCTACCCCCCAGCTTTGTTGGGCCATCAGTTAAAGAACTGGTACTTGGGACGCCTGGGTGACTCAGTTGATTAAGCGTCTGCCTTCGGCTCAGGTCATGATCCCAGGGTCCTGGGATCGAGCCCCGCATCAGGCTCTCTGCTTAGCGGAGAGTCTGCTTCTCCCTTCCCTCTGTGATCTGTCTCACTTTCACTCTCTCTCAAATAAATAAAATCTTTTTTAAAAAAATAAAAGTTCCCATGTGATTCTGATGGTCATCTAGGTGTGGGAACTTCTGATCTGTAATATGTCAAACCAATTTTAAAATCAGTTACTAGAATGACCAGCAGAACCTGAAGCTTTCTCAGGTACCACGTGGCTGTACTTGACAACACGACTTCCACCATCCCAGGAGCGTCATGGCCCCTTGGGCAGCCACACATGGAGAGTCCACGTGAAGGAGCAAGGTCCCCCCTGGCAGGAGACCCCTCTGACTGCCCCAGAGGCTGCGCCCAGCTCTGCCTGAGCGACAGGAGAATCAGACTTCTACCTCAGCTGGAAGAGAGTTCAGATGTCAGATTGGGATCCGGAAGACGGCCTTGGCAGGCTAAGTGATAGTCAGCCTCACGCCAGATGAAACTACCAGGATAAATATAAATCCTGGCCCTTGAGTTTAAAATAAGGTGGGAGAGATGGGGCTTAGTGGTAGTCCATGAGGAAAAGATGTGGGGCTCCTCACGGCTTGTAGGCTGGAGATGAGTCAGGAGTGTGAAGTGGCTGCCAAGGATGGAGGTGGGAAAGCTGACTGGAAACCAATGGAAACCCACAGAAACCCGGGAACCAGGGCTAGGGCTCTAGAGATCGTGCAGGGCATTTCTTGGCCTGACCATATGCTGAGGGGCTTGTGACCCCTCTTAGGTGGTTATCTAGAAATCAGAGGAGTCCAGAATGGCTGGTGGAGCTTGCAGGTATTTAGCCTGGTATAGAGAAGGCTCTAGAGAGATGGCTGTTTTTTCAGAGGCTGTGACTGCTGCAGAGGGAAAAGACTGTTTTGCTCCACAGAACTTATCACTTCCTGCACCAAATTATCTATGTATTTGTTTATATTGCCTGTCCTCTCCACGGAATGGAAGCCCTGTGAGGCCCGAGACTTTTCGGACTCTGCCACCAGTGCCTGGCACACGGGAGGAGCTCCTCCTTTGAAGGAACAGAGGAAGCAGGGATGTCTCCCTCCCCAGAAACCTCAGAAGACGGGGTTGTAGAGGAGAAGAGGTCGTGCTCGGGTCCGTCCTTGGACTCAGTGCCTCCAAGGACCCCAACTCTACTCTACTCTTGGGTTCCCTCACACATAAGAGAAGAGCGGAGCTTACACACGCCAAAACACGTGGGCGCACTAGGCCTTGCCCTGATCGCTGTTCGATGGGGGACACTGATGATCACCCCCTTCAGCACAGCAGAGCCTCAGGCCCCACCCCCACCCCCAGGCTGTGTGCCCACTCTGCCCTGGACAGTGGGCAG